GCGCTGCCCCTCGTCCTTCCCTCGAGGCTCCGTGCCGGGCGGCCCTGCAGCCACCGCCGGGCACGCGGTGCGATTTGTCATCGTCCCTCTGAGCAGAGGGGAGATTCAGAAGTAAAGACTGACAGACGTGGAGAAGGAGAATACACAGGAGCAAACCCCAAGGTGGCTGGAAGATTTCTGACTTTTTTTTTGGTGTAATTAACGATTTCAGTGAAAAAGATGTGGGACAAAGATACCTATCCTTGAAGATTGGGATCTGCCCACTTGAAATGCTTGATTGATTCTTGCCCGACAAAAGATTTTCTACAGTTCCCCTGGAGTAGGTTTTCATACCATGCTACTTAGATTTATTTTTTTTTCTTTATTTTTTCTTAATGCGAAAGATGAAAAATGGTGATTGGGAGAAAATGGTCAGGAAGTAGAATCAATATAAGGGAGCCTAACAAATCACAGTCCCTGTGGGTGAGTGTGCTTGCAAAATCTGGAGCTGCAGACGTCTGCAGTTACAGAGCTGTCCCTGTATGACAGAGAAAAGGTCCAGCAAAGGGAATTCAGTAAAGCTTTAGGAAAAGCCAAAATTCCTGTTGGCTACTTTCTGCCCGTGACACAAATGTGAGAGTTGTTCCTGCAAGAGCTTTGCCACCCAGGTCTCTGGTTTTTCATTTACTCCTCTGCAGCAGCTAATCGCTGATTCTCTTAAAAGAACTCAGTGTCTCACATGTTCTACCCTTTCAAATGAGTCTCTTCACAATGAATGAACTGTCAGATGCTTCTGTGTTGCTGTCAGAAGTGTTCCGTGATGATGGGTTAGAACCCGTGCCTATTTATGAGCCTGTAAACCTTTTCAGTGCTAAATCCTGCTTTCCAGTGCCTAACTGCTCCCATAAATGCATTTCCCATGTCTGATGTTTATACAACTGGGAAGTGATGATCACAAAGCTACTGATATGTAGCACAAAATATGTAACACATATGCTACCCATTGTCTAATTACATTTGTCTCCCAGAAAATTGTGCCTTGCAAGCAAAAAAAGGCCAAGAAATAATTGTGCATGGAGTAAATCTGAAAACTTCATTGAATATACCCCTGAGTTACATCAGAGTAGCAGGACTGTAGCAGTAACTCATAGGCAATTATAAACAATCTGACAATGAAATCTTTGTTACATTTACTTTGCCATTGGAATTAAATCTTTATGTTATTTCTTGTGGTTACAGATGTACGTTTCACTTTAGCTATTGAAATAATTCATTATATTAATGCAAAGTATCATATTTGCCTTAATAGTAA